ATCGTTGGCTGAAATACGCAATAATGTTGAGGTCATCTCCTGTTTGCTGCGCAAGGAAAGCTCCAGCACCTGCTTCGCTGGCATCCACGTGCACGACGAAGTCTTTTGTAAAATCGGGAAAGTGTAAAATAGGTGCTTCCGTGAGCAGTCGTTTGACTGTCGCAAACGCCTCATCATGGTCGTTTCGCCAACGTTTTGCAATCGATTTTACGTGCTCTTTTTTAGTGAGGTCTACCAACGGCGCTACCACCGTGGACAAATCTGGGAGAAATTTCCTCACAAAATTGATCATGCCTAAAACTGAACGGAGTTCTTTGATCGTTTTAGGAGCGGGCAGGTCAACAATAGCTTTAATGCGGTCGTCTCCGATTCGAATTCCTTTCGCAGACAAAATGTGACCTAAATATTTTACTTCCCTTGGCCCGAATTGTACCTTGGAAGGTTTCAATGTGAGCCCTGCGGCTTGAAGGGCTTGAAATGTATTTTCTAACAATGTTAGATGACTTTCCCAAGTCGAACTACAGCAAATGATGTCGTCCATGTAAACAAGGAGGCCACTTCGGGGTCCAAAATGTGCAAATGCTAATGACATCATGCGAGCAAATAAAAACGGAGCGTTCGCAATTCCAAAAGGGAGACGTTTAAAAACCCATTTTCCTTTTTGAGTTACAAAGGCGGTCTTCTCTTGCTCCGCTGCTGCAACGGGTATCTGGTGGTACGCGCTCTGCACGTCACACACAGCGGGAGGTATCGCACAGCACGTTGGTCGACTACATGGTCAGGGCAGTTGTCGACTGAGTTCAGTTTCACACGTGCACGGTATTGCGCCAAAAGTTCTACAATATCTTGCCAAGGTGCCCCTGAGAAAACAAGATCTTTGGGTAGGTCTGCGGGTTTTAAGACGAAACGAGCAGACGTACCCGTAGTGTGCGCTGACGGGTGTTCATCAGCGCGCACATTAGAGTGTGTAGGTGAGGCATTCGACATCACTAGAGGGTCGCTAGTCCTGCTGGTGTTGTCGATTTCTCGCGGGGTCTCCACGGATTGCGGAGAAAAATCGTTTACTAATTGCCGAGACGGGATAGGTGACTGCTGTGAAGCAAAATTAGATGGTATGCTGTTGTCACGCCGGAGGTTCGGGCGGGCACTACCCTCGCTACCAACGTTGGGTTCGTGTCGGACAGCAGGCATGCTACCACCTGCAGTATTCACCTTTCGCGAGTTGGCGGGCAGTACAATGGACATAAGCCATTCGGGAGGTTCGGTTCCATCACGGTGGTGCTGTTTCAGCATCTCCACAATGGGTGCGCCAGCCGGAGACGTAAGAACCTCGGGCTCCTCATCTTCGGGTTCCTCCTCATCTGCCCAACGCCCCTGCTGCTGCCGGCCGGCGGCAGGAGGAACATCCTCATACTCGTCTCCCCTCTCGCCGTCGTCAAACGTGTCGCGCTCACCGGGATCACCGCCATCTTCACCGCCGCTGGTGGCACTCGCGCGGTCGGCACCCTCAGGGTCATCCGACTGTTCCTCAAGAAGGCTGCTATCACCCGAGGGGCGTGAAGCCGGCACGCGTTCCGAGGGTGTCCCACGCGCTAGCGGGGTTGTCGGGTGTTTGGAGGCGAGGCATTGCTTGAGCTGATCTAGCTCAGCCTCCAGCTCAAGGCGGCGTTGCTGCTCCTTGAGGCTCTTTTCCTCCGCCGCGTCCGCCTTATCGCGAGCGCGTTGCACGGCTGATTTTTTCGGCATCTCTGACCTCTACCTCCAGTACCAGCAGAGTATCTTTTAATTCGTCGACGCCAATAAGGACACAGGCTTCCCTCGTTGGGGGGGAGGCCCAGGTCGCAGTAGTCTTTTCCCACTACTAAGGGCTGGCAGTTCTCTTCGTCGAGATTTAGAGAGGAGAGGGTCTCAGAAGAGAGAGACAAGGGAGAGTGTGCCGCCGAAGGGGCAAGGGAGACCAAGCCCGAGGGTCTCGGATTCCCAAGCTCCACAGGTGGCGCCAAGAGGGACGCATCCACAGTCGGGTCTCTTGCTGATCAACCATCAGTAAGATCCTCCGTTCGGATCGTATCTTGGTCCTACTTTGGTATGTGCAACAACAATGGTTACAGCACTTCTACACCTGTCATCCACATGTATCGGGTTGAGAGTGAGTGTGACAAGAGAATTTGATGCCACTATTCAGGGTGCCACTTCAAGGGTGCCACTACTGTATGCACATGCGGAACATGAGGAAATACGGAATTACAGACTATTTACCCCGTTCTTCTTGGTTGGACGTTTTTTCGGATACATCCACGGGATAGAATTCTCGCCTCTCTCTCTCTCTCTCCCGTAACAATCTGTAAATTAAATGTACCAGCAAGCGAAAGGATGCCTGTGTTGAAGCCATCTCCAGCGAGTAGGATTAGGAAATCCTGCTGCAGATGGTTCTAAGATACCGGCGACCCTATTTGGTAACCAAGAACCACAAGCAAGCTCGACCACGTGTCAACGCCAGACTCTCTTCTCTCTCCGTGTACCAGGTATCGGAGGAGAGAGGAAAAAGTACATGGCACATAGTCTACTCCCCATACAGCGTTTGTTTGTAGAGAAGCCGAAATCGAACCTTTATAGAGTAGTCAGCTGTGTGACTACCATTTACACAGCAGTCTAAAGTAGTGGTAGTGGTTTGATTTCGGCGTCTACACACATGGTCGCCCCGGTGGTCTAGTGGGTATACCCTCGCAGCCTACTGCCGAGGGCCAGGTCACATGGGTTCGAGTCCCCGGCAAAGTGAGTATTTTTCGCACTAGAATAAATTCTCGAGAATGTTTTTTTTTTTTCTCATGACATAATGAACCCATCTCTATCTACAGAAAGAACTCTAAGATAGATTAGCAATGAATCCACTGCGTCAGCGAAGGGCTATCTGTGTGTCTACGATTTCCCGAACAGCACACAGCGATATCTTCCCTGTGGGTAACAGGCTCAACAAGGCAGTTTGGTAGCCATCTTGTTGTGTATCTATCTGCATGTATGTATGTATGTTATGTTGGGAAGCTACAGACGGAAGATTTATTAGGGGAAATCGGTTTGCTGCGCGGTCCATTCTAAAAAGAAAGACAACATACATACACCGGTCAACGGTTTGCGCGGTCGACGCCAATTCAACATCACAATCCACACTATTACTATTATTAGGGTGTTTGCGAAATGGTCTCCCATTTCAGTCTTGGAAGTTTGAAGGAATTCCGGCCCAAGATTGAATTTTGGTTTCAAAAATAGCTTGCAAAGACCGGAGCGCAATATTTCAGTCTTGAACATGCGGAAATTTCCTAGAACGTTGCGTTCAATACGACGGAGCCCCTTTGCCGGCGGCGGCAGACAGATGGTTGAGCCGACTCGGAACACCAAACATATTTCCGAGCTTCCGCTTTCACCCCAACAAGGCTACTACTACTCCACTATCACTGCACCCTCACCCACCCCCAGTCATGGAGAATACTGATGGAGCAACGTACTAATTCATGAACAGGCGGTTGGCCCAGTTCAGTTACCGGGAGTGCATGGGAAGCGTAGCGCCGCAAAAAGCGGAGGCATGCATGTATGTGTGTACGTACCCCTTCAGCACGCGAACAAGTTGTGATACATATCGCAGTCAGTCGTCGACGGAGTCGATAGTTTCCTGTCAAACAAATCACCACAGCACGGTCCACAGGACGCACGCGCTGCAGCTAGCTCCTCACGCCCCCACGCCGCTTGAAGCATCCCCATCTCCATCACCTCCGCCTCCACCACCTGTGCCGCACTCCTGAGATCTATGCCGCCCGCCTCACCGCCTCACCCTCCTCACGCCGCGGTTTGATGTGTCACTTATTATGAGCATGCATGTAGAGCGGCATGCTTCTGTCTGTCCACGCATAAACATTTAAGATGAAGCAAAAGTTGCACCATGTCGGCAGCATGCAATGCGCACCGGGTGTGCGGTGCTGCGACGTTTGTCTGACCGTCTGTGGTCTGGCGGCACTGCTGCTGTTTGTAGTTGGTTCGCCATGCATGGTGTCGTCTACGGCGGCCAAGGTGTGTGTGTTTGGGCAGCTCCACGGGATGGTGCGGCGGTGTCGGGAGGACGTCGGGAGTATCTCGGGGTGGGTGCATAGGCCAATAATCAAAAACTGTTCCTTCAAAGACCAAAATGAGCAAGACTGAATTCAAGCTTTCCTGCGGTCTTTGGGGGCAATTCCATAAAGCAAAAGATTGAATTCCTAAAGATGCATTGGTCTTCGGCGCTCGGGGGGATCAAAAAGACCAAGATGAAACTGAAATTTCAACTTCGCAAACACCGTATTATTGCTGTTGCTTCATCGTCGAGGAGTTGTTCTACTGCTTTATCCTGACCCAAAAATCAGCGCTCACAGCATTTTGTGCCGTTTAAAGAGTCATAACCTTTTTTTGCCGTTTAACTCCAAACAGTCAAACAGTGGGTGGTCACACAGACAGGAGGGTTCCTCTCCCTGACCACCGCAACTCATCCCTCCTGCGGTACTTTTCCTTCGATTCTTTAATTCGAGAAGAGTGAAGCACTCTTCCTCTGTGTACACACGAACTACTACACTTGGTGCTTCCCCCCTGCCTGGCCAGGAACTACATATGCATAGGAAAGGATGAAAGGATCTGAGGATATGATACTCGATGATCTTGATGGAACTGGACACGACACAGGACTGTCCGAAACTGCGCACCAACTGACTGGGGCGGGCCCAACATTTTTTTTTCCGTGTTTCCTCTCTGCTCAACAACTCGAGGCGATCAGGCTCTCACGGCAGTAGGCTCAAAACAAGAATTTGGTGATCCCGTGGCAATCGCCCCCCAGCAAGCGCGGGAGAGAAAGAGAGATGCCAGGGAGGAGGGCGAGAAAACGAGCGCGATGTACAGTGCTGTCCACAACAGCGGCGGGCAGGAGAAGTGGCGCTTCTTGGCCTGTGGTGCCAAGCTGGGCTTTGAAAGCCGTGGTGACGATGGTTGGGGCGGCGGTGTGGCGATCGCCCGGGTGTCAAGCGGTGAGTCCAGACACACACGCACATACGCAAAGCAGTAGGGTGTTGCGCGGTGCTTGTGCTTCCAACTTGAAGGATCCAGTGCGGTGCACGCGTGCTATCTAACCTGAGGCGAGACCGGCGCGGGGCGTCTGTTCATCTATCTTACTAGCCAACGGCAATAGAAGTATGATGCAATCTGCTGTGTTCGGTTGGGGCGGCCCCCCCGCGTTACTACATACTTCCAGCAAACGGGAAGCGCGCCTGCTGTGCTCTTGGGAGGTCCTTGGCACGTGGACGCCACCGATTGCTCGACGAGGACCGTCTCCCGCAGCCTCGCCCACGCCGCGTACGGGTGTTCCAGCATAGTTGGAAGGTTCACCCCGTGCATCAAGCATCAAACCAGAACATGATGCAGCGCAGAAACTGGTCTCCGAGTTACAGCAGTGTTCCACTATTTTCAAAGTGACCCCCACCACCAAAGTGCCTGCAGAACCGCCGCACCCCTGTCACCAACAACAGCAACAGCAGCCAGAGCAGTAATCACGACCAATCGCCAAAAACGATTGTAATCGCGGCCATCTGACTTCATTCGGAACGGGATTTGCCCGTGGAAAACGGCCCGTTTCTGTCTGTCCAAGTAGCTATTGTATGTATTTCAAGCTTCTCTCTCTAACACAACCAAGGGAAGGAAGTCTCGGTGGAGCCATGAACGACTTTCAGGTCTGGCCATGAAACAAACGACTTTCAGGCCTCTCTCTCTCTCCGTGCCAAGAACGTGCGGTCGTGTACGCAGCAGGTGCGCGATCTACTTAACAGCAGTGGTATGTCGATTGCTCCTCAATCAAGAGAATTGTTGCCAACCCCCAACCGACACAGCTCTCGATGAAATACCCCTCTCATCCACACTTTTTGGCAGCAAGTAGCCCGTTGGTTTGTGGAGCCCGCATGGATTGATTGATTGGCATCCCCGTGTGCGCCGTTGGCGCCACATTCTTGCAATTTCTTTGTGCAAAAGAACGCGTGTATCTCTGTCCATATCCTGGTGCCCCTCAGCTACCACACTACTGTAGTTGCGGACTCGATTCTCTGTCGGGATGGTTTCCCTTTTAGGCCTACAGTATAACTTAAGTACAGCAGGGAAGATTGATGCGGTGGAAGTAGAGGTGACGGTGGACGAGGGAAAGGGACGTTCCTTCGAAAGTGGTACGTACGTGAGGTCTACCTTCGGGACCTTGGGTGTCACATCATGCCTTCTGGAGGTACAGCAGTAAATATTGACTTCCGAAGACCAGCGTACCCGAAGAGGCCTGTGCATCGCATGTGTATGTATCGATGGGCAATCCAGTGTTCTCCTGCTATGGAAGGCACAACAAACGATGCATGTGTAGAGCTCGTCGTCTCGCGGACAACAACTTGCACCGATTAGAGAGTTAGAGAGGCGGGTGCAGGTTGGCGGTTTTTTTTTTTTCCGAGCGATTACCGTTTCCATTGTTCCGTTCTTGGTTGTGGAAAGTGCTACACACACGCAGCTGTTCGCGTGTAATCAAGAGGGTGCTGAACTCTTCTCGCGTTACCAGTCACAGGCAAGCACCGCAGGAGGGGTCGGTAGGGGGGGCTCAGGGTGGGGGGACCTTTCTGCGTGATCCAAACGTGCACGAAAAAGTTATCCCGCATGCCTTCCCTGAAGAACCAATTAATTACAATAAAATTTCTTCTGCACCTTCCGAACATCACATATATGAGACACACAAGACAGCTACCAAACTTTCTTGTTGAGCCTGTTACCCGCAGGAGATGTCCCTATATGCTGTCTGGGAAACCGTAGACATACAGGTGCTTTCTGACGCTATGAATTCATTGCTAATCTGTCTCAGACTCTTTTCTATGATAGAGATGGATTCGTTGTGTCATATTAAGAAAAAATAAAATAAAATAGGTAGGTACCTATTTTGATTACAGTAGCGGCTACGGTTCAAGAGAGGGTCGGTACAAGCCAATTTCACTCTCTTAAACCCGGCTTTCTGTTATATCGTGTTGGCTACGATATAAGAGATAATTTTCTTAAACAGAATCTCACTTTAAGAGAATTCTCTCTTATATCGTAGACAAAACTGAAGGTCGTGAAACAGGGGCTCTCGCGCACTGACTACACTCGAATGCCAAAATAGGTCATAAAGAGAGCGTATCATGCATGTCACTTGCGCAGCTAGCGTTACCACGTCGGGCTACCTCCAAACACCGCTCATTCTCTTGGTTGGCAAGCACGTGGACCCAAGCACTGCTGTACGTTGTACGCTTTTGGTGGATCTGCGTTCGGAAAAATAAATCATCGTCGTGTGATGCGATGCACATTTTTGCACGTGGGCACGTAAAAGGTTTTGGTTGAGTTGTTTTATAGCTGGGTTTCATAGTTGCACCTCTTCTAGAAGGACAACACGAGGCGACGAATGCACCAGCACTCAAGAACGACGCACCCGTTTACACACTGCACCTTCCTCCCACCGTACCCTCAACATATGTAACACCTTCATACCTCTCATCCCATCGATTTGAACCCCCGACAAAAACACGAGTCAACGAACAAAAAACAGCTTCACAATATCAAAACATCACTCGCCGTACAAATAACACAAACCCAAGAAACCAACGCTACCCTGGCGACCTGTCAGCCTGAACACGATCTGCGCTGCAACCGTCAAAGGAAGTCGCTCATGCACGTCTGCTTGGTTTCCCTCGAACCGTAGGCACTCATCCACGCTAGCTTAGCCTTGCGGAGGTGAAAAGACACTTCGGACATGCGGCACTTCTCGGCAGTATCCTCAAGTTCACCAAAATGATTTGCTACATTCGCGTACGGCGGCGGAGCCGGGGCCGCTGCCGCCGCCGACTGTCCCGATTGGCGTAGCTCAACCAGGTCGTCGTCCTCGTCGTCAGAGGAAAGATCCATGCCCACCAAATTCTCATCACAGAGGTCCTCTACCATCTCTGTAACGATCGCTTCGGCTACCTCCACGTTGTCCTCTACAGACAGCCATGTGTCTACCGCCTTCATGGCAGCCGGCGTGGGCTTCGCCCCCGGTGCCAGCCCCAAGCCAGCGAGCGCGTCTGCGATGTCTTCGTCGATGCCTTTTGCACCCTTCGTTCGCAAGCTCATGCGCGAAATCAAGGTCTCCAGCTCGTCCGCTCCGTCCTGCTTGCCGGTGGTCTTCGTGCGGCCAACCTCCGCGTCGATGTCGGCGTGCATGGCTGCAGAGAGGATATCTGCCTTCTTCCAGCACCTGCAACCCGGGCGGCAAGAAAAAAAAAACGAGGCACGCACAGAGAAACAGTGTGGGCCATGATTTTGTTTTGGTTTCCTTGTAATTTTTCCTTGTTATATGAGAAGATGCTCCATGTGAAATTTTGACCCCAAGGTAATCTCTACCGTTGCAACGAGAAGGAAAAAAAAAAAAAAGATCAAGCACAAGCAACAAAAACTCCATGTCAAAAATGAACAACGATGAGAGCTGAAAAAAAACAACGAATCCACGCACCTCCTGATGGTGTCCTCAGAAACACGCCCCCACGCGTCGTTGCAGAGCTCAGCGGCGTCGAGTAGGTGAGGTGCGGATCCCTCCGCCAGCCCGTGGCAGCCGCTGACCACCTTGCGTCTTATCGCTTCCGTTCGGAGGTTCGCCGCGTCGTCCATCGTGTCGACGCGGATGCGGAGCAGCAAGGTCCTGAAGATCTTCTTCAGGGCTGCGATGATCCCGGCGTCGCAGGGCTGGTGTTTGGCGGTGCAGTTCGGCGGCAGCTCCAGGACCGTCACCTGCCCACGGGGGTCCACCAGGTTCGCGTGGCTGCTGTGGTTGTCCATGGTGAGCAGGACGGGTTTGCTGGTGATGGAACGCACCCACGGAAGAAGCACCTCCTCCCACCACAAGCCGAAGACGCGCGCGTCAGACCACGCGTTGGACTGGCTGAAGTACTTGACGGGCAGCTTTCTGAGCCTGAAGCACCGGGGGTTCTTGGAGTGGCCGATCATAGCCAGTGGTACCTTGCGGCCGCTGGCGTGGGCCGCCACGTACAGCGTGACGCGATCCTTGAATCCCATGCCTTTCACCCCCCGCACCGTGCGCTTGTCCTCCCCAGGTGCGGTGTGCCACGTACAGCGTGACGCGATCCTTGAATCCCATGCCTTTCACCCCCCGCACCGTGCGCTTGTCCTCCCCAGGTGCGGTGTACGTACTGCGGGGCAACATCTTGTACTGAAGCGCAGTCTCGTCGCAGTTGATGATGTTGTCCGGGTCGTACCTCGCGATCATCTCTCGGACCTTGCGGATTCCGTCGGCGATAGCTGCATCGTCGACGCTTCCCGCCTGGCCGTGCAGCTTCCTGGACTTGAGGTTGTGGCGAGCGATGAACTTCTTTGCCCACCCCTCAGAGGCGATGAACTTGTCGAGTCGGTCACGTTCTGCAGGTGTTGATGCCTTGGCTGCGACAGTTGCTTTCGCTTTGCGCCCAAAGGCCTGGATGGCCAACCGATCCACAGGCAGACCATGCGCCCGCGCGTGTGTGAGGAGCTCCATCACAGCCTTTTCCACCTGCCAATCGATGCGAAGGAGAGCAACAAGTTGGAAAACAGCAGGTTCAATTCGTACATGCAGGGTGTGGCAGCGACAATGTTTCTGATCATAGATGACAAGCGCACAGGACCCCAAGTACCAAGAGGTAGAGCCGAGCACACCCTGCTGGACATCAAGTATTCCCCGCAAAGTTTTGAACATGCGATGGACTTCAGACTAGACCTTTTGGCTTTTTGCCATTGCCAAAAAAAAACACAACAGCAGTAGTAGCACGTGAAAAGATCACCAATAAGTCCGCGGGCATCATGCATGTGTACATACATGGCACACAAGCGTGTCTTTTCACAGCAGTACATAACACACAAGCATGTCTTTTTCACAGCAGTACTACTACTACTACCTTGTAATACATAGTGCACATGTGTGAGCGTACCAAAAACTCACATGCTGTAAACCATACATGATCGTGGCGCAGCAGCAGAAACATATTGTATATTACTACATACATAGTTACGAGTACACACGTTTCTAACTTGATTGTTGAACACGGAACAGCAGCAGATACACATGTCTTCTTTCACTTGACTTTTGAACAAAAAAAGAAAACACACCGCCCGTGACACAAAAGAAAAAAAAACTGTCCTGAACGCACCTTTGGAAACTCTCCTCCCTTCGTAGACTTCGCGCCAGCCTTGCCGACCGCTGCTGCGTCCTTAAGCTTCTTCTCGCCACTCTTCCAGCTGTAGACGGTGCTCTCGCCTATCCCCAGCTTCGCCGCGACTGCGGCGACAGACATCGTCTTCAGAAGCTCGATGGCGTTCACCTTCACCTCGACCGACACCCGCTTGCGCTTGGCTGCGCCGCCTTTTTTTTTCGCGCCATGCTGGCCAAGTCTCAAGCTACCACTTGCACCCGGGGAGCCCTTGCCTTTGCTCCCCGAGGAGTTGCGCTTCTCTGACGGCGCGCCAGCAGTCCCACCAGCACTCCCCACGCCTGAAGTCATGCGCTCACGGGAGGAAAGGCAGTTGTGGCAGATGCGATGCATCTCGGAGGTGCCCTGAGGGTCCACCACACCACAGGTGCCATGGAGGTACTGCCTGCAGACTCCTCTACATTGGTGGTTTGTGAACGCCGGCGGGCCTGGCGTGTGATCGGGGACAGCCGTGCAGCGACTGCCCGCCACGCAGGGCATGGTGTCTGCAGCTGTGTGGGTGTGTGTGTCCACGTGGTTTCCACATTGTTCGATTTAAGAGAAAAATCCCAGCTGCAAAAGGAAATTTCTCTTAAATCGATTGTTATTGGTACACGCCAATTCCTCTCTCTTAAATCCGTACTTTCTCTTAAATAAGTTCTCTTAAACCGTAGCCGCTACTGTACCTCGAAAAATCGCGGCAAATTATTGTGTTGTTCTCAATTTCCAATTCGAACAGAAAAAAACAACACTCCGATTCTACATACTTGTAGGTCTTCCTCCTGCGCATGACGCCCCTCCGGCTGGTGCGTCTAGAAAATACACCGAAAGATGTTGAATAAAAAAAACGCACGACGTCGAGAATAGGATACCCTGTCCAGAAGATAATTGTACATGGGGGGTGTTCATTATATTAGTATTGTTTTTGGTTAGTGGGAAGCGATATGGAAATGATGATGGAAAGCACTCTATGTATGTGTGTTTGCAATAAAATAGTCCGGCGTTTCCTCGACTGTGAAGAAGAGGTTTCACGTCGAAGATATGTACAATATGTGCTTCGTAGTATTTACGTACTCCGTATGTGGTTTTGCCGTACTTACGTTGTGTAACAGACCCACAGACCCATTGGGGGTTGTGAACTTCGATTGCTCCGATGTATGTACACGCAATGAGGGCAGCAATGCCGATTGATGCAGTACTATTATAGCGCACCCACCCCCCACCTTCGGTTGCCCGTTTTAAACCCTGCCACCGACCCTGCGTGTGTCTCGACTGGAAAGATCTACACGCGTGCGTCGATGGACACGGACCCCCCGACGTACTGCACCATGTTCCACCACATGGTCAAGAACGGAGGGACGGCGGTAAGAGATCAGCTGATCCTGGCCAGCGAGATCCAGGGGCGAGATGTCCCAGGTCAGTGAGAGAGGGTACACACAAATTGCCCCGCGGCCGTTTTGCTTTTGTTTCGCCACCGTCATCGGCCACAAGGCTTTCCCACGGTTCCGAGGCGTTTTCTCGAGTTTTTTAGGGGAAACGCGAAAGTGACGTCGCGACTGGCCCTTGTGTTTTTCCAATCAAAGCGAATGAGTGCCTTCGTCGGTAGCTTTTTTTCCGCAGAGGGAAGAAAAACGCAAACGCCCATGCCCATGGCTTTGGTCATGTGCTTGCTGTGCGGTCAGGAACTCGGCACGGATGAGGTGGTCGTGCCCGTGCTCTCCCCAAACGTTCTCCCTGATGTCTTATTTTGCAACGGGCTGCGCAGCGGGGGGGGGGGAGGGTCATGAGGTATGCGCTTGGTTTTCTTGTCAAACGAACGCTCATTCTTGCTACTCTATGTCAGCGGAGCTTTTGGCCTTCATTGGACACGTGCTGTACGCCCACTTTTTGTGCGGTATTGCTTGTTGTTTGCTCACAGTCCTGTGTGTGGTAAGGCCAACGTCTGCACCACACAAGCCCCACCCATGGACTGCTGTCCATTGCACCTGCCATCGTTTGTCGTTCGCAGGCCTGTGTGTGATAGGGCCATCTTCTGCAGAGGCCTGCCTTGACGCGCTACACCACTCGTCTGTCATCATGGGCTACGTCGAGTTATTAAGGTGATTTCACTGTTTCGTTGTACCAGAAGCAAACCTGTGCTTTTTTTGTTCTTGCAAGCCGTAAAACGAATTCATCTCCTTCCACAGCAGTCTGCTGTTTGTTTTTCTTAAGGCGCTGGGCTACTATCAAGCTATCATACGCCGGAGCCAGCGATGTGGACTTCTGTGTCCATTGCGTCCACAGGTCTAAATACTTAAATACTCACCTTTTTTTGCAAGTTTACAACGTTGGGACTATTTTATTTTGCGGCATGTCCTCACATGATGCGGTTGATCGGACGTTGCTGTGATCCAGTTGCTGTGCCGGTAAGGGTTATTTGCTATGGTATTTGCGAACGTAGATGCCGGAAAATGCTGATGCCGTTGCTGGTGCTGAGACTGTCGGCGGCTTGGATGGTGATGGTGACATTGCGATGCCCGAATATTGGCGTTGTAGTTTTGTTGTCGTCGGTGTGCATGTGGAACTCTGACGGATGGCTCGGCGACACTGACCACTTTTTAGGGGGCTACGTACGTTTTTCAAAATGATGTCTAGGCCGCTCTACCACACCCCAGCGGTCCACATCATCTCGAGCTCTGACGAGCAGTCGTTTCAACCCAGCATCCATTCATGCCTTCCCAACCATCTTGAGTTATCTCCGACCGGAATGCTTTCGCCGACTGCTACTGCTGGTGTACGTTTCTCACGAGTATGTCGATGTCGATCTCGATCTCCAACGCTGTGTACAGGGATCCAATGGAGGAGCTGGGGCGACGGTGCGACTACTTCACGATGATGAGACATCCCATCGATCGCCTGGTATCGGCTTTCTACTACTGTCCGACCTTCCACGATAAGCAGGTTCGGCCGAATAAGGTGAGAAGCCGACCGGCCGGCCCTCGGCGCGATCTACGCATATTATGTTTTTGAATTCCGTTCAACATGTAGAATGGTGTATCCCTCTGTGGGTAGGTAATGGTTGGCTTGTGACCACGGCAGGCCTCTGCGTCAGTTGGATCGGTACGGGCAAGGTATTTAGCGGATACCAGAACGTTTCTACAGTGCTGTCAAGACAGCAACAGTATGCCGTTGCATCTGTCGACCGATCTTCTTTCCCCCCCAAAACCAACAACATACATCAAACGAATACTGTTTCAGCCTGCGCGCCTATGGACAACGCTCTATTTAGACCCTCCCCCAACTTGCACCAGTGTACAGTAGTGTTACCATGGCACACGCACACGAAAACAAGACAAGGCTGATTTATTGTCGGATAATTGCACCTATTTGGTTTTTTCTCCGTGTGTTTTGGAGACGTCTGGTGCTCACATCAACAGGGGTCTCATGCGTATGATGGGAGAAATGACCGCACATGACTTTTGTCGTATGCTTTCGCCTTCCTTCTGCTGCCTGACGTCTTGCTCGCCCTCGTCCTCCTCCTCCTCCTCCTCCTCCTGCGGCTGTTCTCTCGGGCATGACCAGTGGTGTGGGGGGCATAGCCACCCGGACCCGTTAACATCTCGGCTGTTAGACTTCGCGAGGGAGGACTGGATGTGCAAGGCTATGTTCCAGCTCAGCTTCGCCTCCTACTGCCCCCCCGGCGCCTTCTGCGAGCATGATATGGTCGAAGAGCCACCGACGCATCTCAACGGCGTTGAAGACTGGAGTCTGCTGGCCGTAGCAGAGGTGCGGGCGGTTAGAGTACCCGTTTTCTTTTTCTCTCAGAACCGCAGCGAGCGTACCATATACATATGTACACGCCCCACCACAGACGGTTGACCTTTCAGTGACTAAGGTCTCCTTGCGCCCGGCGTACTGTAAGGATGTACACACGACGTCACTTTGCACCATTCGTTTACCTCCCCTTGGCACCATTCATTTACCTCACTCGGCACCATTCGTTTACCTCCCTCCCTACCGAAAACAGGACGTCCTTCTGAGCTACACCGCTGTGGGGATTTTCGAGGAGTGGGAGCTGTCGATGGAGCTGTTCGACGCCGTAATCAGCAGCCCGGTGCAGCAGTGGGGCGGCGAGGAGGCCGTCAACCCGGGCCCCAAGTCGAGCGAGCGAGAGATGCTGCTTCGGTGGGCGCATAGCTCTCCGGAGATCAGGCAGGCCGTGGGGGGAGACCTCCTGCTGTACGACCTAGCGCTGTCGATCTTCAAGAGGCAGACCGCGGAGGCGCTGGGGACGGTATGGAAGAACGGCGGGACGAGCTTAGCGAGGGAATCGGAAAAACTTCGATCGTACTAGTGAGTGGACGGTACGGTCATCCGCTGGCGGGTACTGGGCCTCTGGAACCCCCCTTGAGCAGGCAGACCCGTGCTTGCGGATACCCCCGTCGTCTGCTTGCACCGGCGTGTGTTTGTTGTGTTGTCCTGGTACATATTGACCGTTGTCTCCCGTGTGTTATAAGTCTATATACGTTGGTGTAGAGGGTGGCCAAGAGCTTAGCGTGAGGGAGCCGGGTTTCGAAGCGGCTTTTGCATCTTTGACCGCAGCGGCCACGACTACCCCCACCCGCAGAACAACAGCTGAGGGGGGGGGGGGTACGGAGAGGAGTCCGCGTTTCTGGGCTGTGAGCTTGGGTCAACCTTGGAGAAAACCGAGCGGGGGTAAAGCACCCGCTCCTCTCCGAAAAACCTGCGGTGTGTCAAGTGGTCATGTCTTGAATATGGGCAACGGCAGGTGTGACGTTTTGGTGTTCGTGTGACTTGTTCTGTTGGTTGTCGGTGCACAGCGATATTAGTGCTGCCATGCGCGTGTTCAGCTCCCCCCGTGTTTGCTGTGTAAAGCCTTTTGTGTTCTGCCATCTGGTTGTCGGTACACAGCGATACTAGTGCTGCCATGCGCGTGTTCAGCTCCCCCCGTGTTTGCTGTGTAAAGCCTTTCGTGTTCTGCCATCTCGTCATACTGTTTGCTCCTTTGTAGCGTAGACGATATAGTAGTTCCTCAGGTGCGCTGGGCTAGTGGCTAGCGCCGTAACGTATTGCCCCCGAAAGCAGAGCTGCCGCTGGCATACGTATTGTAGAGTGGAGTGCCTTTTTTATTTTTTTGTTCGTCCCGCACATAAATCCTTGCCGGGGTCCCGCGATGGCAACCCTGTGTCAGGATTTTGCTGAGCCCCTGTTGCGTGATGGTACAGCGGCACGCGGTGATTCCCCTAGATTCGAGAGCAGTGCATGGGACCCCCGGTTGCGGTTTCAAAGAAATCGCCGATCAATAGAGGTGATGTATGTGGTACCAAGAGCGGCAACAGCGCCAGCCAGGCGTCGAGCCCGTCGTAACTAGCAGTTTGCGACAAGCACGATAGGAGAGCTACCGTACGTGGTGTTGGTTCTGCGGAGAACAGTGCCGAGGAGGACTGTTGCCCTTCTTTGAGTGCTGCCGCTTCGTGTTTGTTTCCTCGGTTGATGTCCGTTGACGGAACCTACTTTGTGGTGGCGAGGGTGGTGCATCAGTACGACGGTGCAGTGTTTGTTTGGTAAGGTGCATGCGGAGTCATGTGTCCATCTCTCCCGCCGTAGTGTTTCGTTTTTTGTCGCTGTTCAGTTTTCGTAAATATCACTCTTGTTCTTTGTCGTCGCACGGTTAATTGCATTGGTAATTAAGGTAGATAGAACAGGACCCACCCAATTGGTTGCCGTTGTTGTTGATTCCTCGCGAAGTGTTTTCGAGTCAAGGCTAGAGATATGCGCATGAGCACGCCGTAGGTCGTACATGAAAGACCGATTTGCAAAGCTCGACTTCAAGACAACACATTATTTTGAAGAAATCGTGGCCGTGCCTGCGTTGGGACGCCTCGTCGAGAGCTTGCTGAGGACGTACTGCTGCATGCATGCCATCATGTCATTTTGGCAGCATATATATATATATATCCTTTCTTGGGTAGATTGGCAAGCCTGTAATGTATCCGCCTCCATGGCGGTCGCGTCGTCTTCTTGAGCTAATTTATACAAAACGCGCCACCGCTCAAGACCCTCTAGATAGTTTTGACCGAGGCTGGGGTTCTTAGTTCCTAGAGTCACGCTACGAATGGTCGCTAGATATGTAGGTTTTAGTCTAGGGATTCTTAACGAAGCTCGCAAATGGTGCTGAAGTCAAGGGTCGACGTCAAAAAAATATCCGGACACATAACCACCCTGGGAGGGCAATTTCGTTATCTGTTTTATATAGGAATTTGAATAGGGGTCTTCGTTCACGCACATATAAGTCATTGACCCCCCTATTGCAGAGGTTTTTTATCCACGGTGTCCCTTACCATATATAGAAAATAGAGTCCTCCCCCCTCCACACACACACACACACACACACGGACCCCGATTTTCGAATATTGTAGTAGGCCGATGTGTCCAGATTTTTTTTCACGAAGACCCTCAAGTTAAGTTCTTGAATTTTGATTTATTTCGGCGGTCTGTACGCCTCTTGACCGTAACTGCCCTGCCGCACTAGGAATCAAGCCTAAACAGAGATATCTGTTGCTGATCTGCTGATGTTCGCACGGCGGGATACTATCATGCCGCGCAGGTTTAACCCCCACCGCAGAAAGGCTGCTCAAAACGCCACAGATCGAAGTCCATGCCTAAAACTCCACCAATTTCTTGTAGATACGGAAAGGGTGTTGTAGTTCCTCTCCTCGTGCAATGAGGGCGGACGTATATCTAGTGCAGCAGGAGGGGGCTGAGGCCAAGCACCAAGCGCTCCCGCAAGGCAGCGAAAGCCGCGCGAAGTGGCGGCAGGGCACGTCGGCGCCCGCAGCGAGCCCAGAGGCGATTGATTCTGGCCGGTTCGAGCGTCACCTTCAAACCCCCGTACAGATGGATCTATACCCTTCCTTCCGCGTGGCTGCCACAGGTCCGCCGCGGCGTGGGTCGGGCGATGCAACACGCGAGCCGCCGCCGTGCCGCTGCGCAACCGTGGCAGACACGCGGAACGGTGAATCCATCTCTATGGGCGGAGGAAGGGGACGCCTGGACCGGCCGGAATCGATCGCCTCGGGGCTCGCTGGCGTTTTGCCCTGCGTGCGGCTTTTTCGCTCCCTTGCATTGCGGGAGCGTGGCCTCAGCCTCATCCGTCCTGCTGCTGTTGTACGTCTCTCACAGCCTCCTCTGCGAGTGAGTGCCTTGCGCTGCCCCTGAATGCGCTCCAAACGCGGTAGTTCGATCACTTGTCCGAACCTGCCGGACGGCTGCGACGACAACGGGCCGAAGAAACGGTTACACGAGCCTAAAGGCGGAGCAAGCCCGACGTCGTTTTGGGTACAGTCATGTTTCAACGGCCGTGGGGAAAACATGCTACCCGAACCCGCACAGGAATGGGACCGCAACGACAGCACCGCCGCCATGGTGTGCTCATCAATAGCATCATGTTTTGCATCCTGCAGCCATTAAGTGAGCTAGGGCCACCGACGCGGCCAAATCAGGGTTAAGTTAGGATAATATGTAGGACGCACGAGACGCGTGTGGCCGGAAGATCGGTGAGCCTGGGGGCGAGGTAAACGAGGGGCGCGGTACTCACCTAGCAGATCAGCCAGCGGGAAGGCGCTCCAGACCAGCCGACGACCGGCCCACACCCAGTGGTGGCTCAGGGATCCCGCCTGGAAATGATTTACGTTCAAGCGTAGCGGGTTTTGTGGCGTCTTGTCGTTACTCTCTCGATCGAGCAGTTTGGGATTCGGGATGGAAGAGGAACCGGTTACTTCGTTTGTGAAGAGGCTTCCCGAAAGGCCCTACCAAAAAAGCGGTACACATCAACACGACAACAACAACCTTTCTGATTGGTTCAACCTGTCCCTACCCTCGGTACGTTGCTCTATAGTTGGCGTCTGTCCTTGGGAACTGCGACACCTTCGGTCGGGGTACATTGGCCAATAAATGCGCGTGTGATGACATGCTGATGCTGACCGTTATTCAAAGACCGATGACCACGCCTCGAGAACTGCTGTGACTGAAACCCATGCTCACCATAATCTCGCCGCACTCGGAGGACAGCAAAGCAGCAAGCAGCATGCAGCGAGCAGTGATTAGCGCTTCCAAATGAGGATTTTCGGTAGTAGATCGAGACGTTGCCAGAGGCTCCACTCCGGCAGGACCATTGTGTGGGTGGTTCTCCTCTCGATAGTCGCTCGAGGTCGCGCTTTTACGGCAATCGGCCAGCCGATGTCGCACCTCAAGCATCGCGTCAGCAAGAGCAGGCTGGCTAGCCCAGGAGGATCACCACTGCTGTCGACACTCAACAGGCGGCCCACACCGCAGATGACCGCGGGTAGCAGTGGCGAGGAGGAAGTGGGGTTTGTGGAGAAAGTCACGACAGCTTGGGGTACAGTTATTGAACAGGTGAATCCATATCGCTAAATGCTGTGTCAGAAACATGATCGATCCTGATCAACACCATCTTTCAGCAACGTCTAAAGCAACTTGTCGCGCGTGTCTTACATTTGTTGCTGCTTCGACTACTGCTGTACTGTAGAGTCTCTCCAGCTCCAAGATCGAACCAACGGTATGTATGCAAATGGTGAATGTTGCTGTCCTCAACAAGGTGTGTAGGTTGGCCTCCTATTGATGCTGATGTCGTCAGCATTTCGGACCACACGAAGAAATGGTACACCAGTCGAGTAACACAGCAGTGCCATGTACAACACCGGTCAGGGTCAGTGTCCACACCAGGTTGAGCGCGATGGGTGCGTTGCCATCCCTTCCCAGGCAGAGTGACAACGTAGCGGTCAAAAGGTGGTGAGGTCACGACCACAGCAACGGCGTGGTTCACTATTTCATTTTCCCAGGGGGCTCCACCTGTGGGCGCCCAGGGGCGCAGTTGGCGCGTCGTGTGGGAGGTCGATCAGCGGTCCGCAAGAGTAAAGCATACTTTTCGCAAATACCTAGCTCGATCACGAGCATCAGAGGGCTTAACGTGCACCTGGCGGGCTATTTGCTTACAACCAACAACAGAAACACTGCTGTACAATTTGTACTACCCTCTGCCGTTGCTGATGCCGTTTCCCCAGGGCGATCCTGACGATCTCCCCCCCTGCCCATCTGGAGTGAGCGATCTGGCCAAGCCCACCCAGGTTCGACTACGTCCGTTGCTTAGCGTGGTTGGGGTGGGATGAAGGACAAGGGGGCTGCACCGACCCGGGCAAGCCCCCCTCAAACGTTTTCCAACAATGCCCTGTTCTCGTCCTCTCCTCTCCCTTGCCAAGGGATCAGCTCAGGGGGGAATGTCTGGATGGGGTTCACGTGTACCTGGAACGACGAACATGGTCGTTTGGTTCTTGCAGGGAAGGTTACAGACGGGGGGTGTACTCATAGTCGTGCATGCCGTGGTCGTGAGACCATTGACCTCGCATCCCTACAAAGCCGGGACGGAGCACGCCGGGTTCTCACCGGACCAGGCTCTAACATCACCAAGCGCGAAGCGCCGTGAGGTATTCGGCGAGTCGCATGAAGGGTGCGCTGCATCCTGCTGAGGGTGTTCGGCATCTTGTGCTTACTTCCTTGCGTACGGATGACAGCTGCGTATGACTTAGTTTATTTTCTGGTGCTTTCACTTCCAGAGGCAGTTGTAAGCACGGTGTAACTGCCTCGAGGGTGCGTAACCATTTTAACACAACGTGGTGCGATCATCCCCTTTGCGCGGAGTGAGGGTTCTCCACCCCGCACAACATAATCTACTCGACCACCATTCATGGTTACCGCAAAAAAAAAATACCAAAGGCAAAAAAAAAGCGGTAACCTGGTTGCCGCAGAGGAGCGGGTTAAAACATGGTTTTGCATCTGTGCCCCGATAGCCCTAAGTTCTAGTCGTGACTACATGTTAGTTTTACACTCCTGGACATTGGGTCTAATTATTACCATATATTTTATGCGAAGCCCCCGTCTCTCCTTCAAGCTCAAACCTTTGACCTCATTCTTAGCGAGGTCATCGTGCTCTACATCTCCACATTGCCGAACCCCATCGCTGCAACAACCCCAGCCAAAGCCGACACTCCTCATGCCCGCCCTCCCCCCCTGTAACAGGCGCTGATCGTTGCGGGAGTGTTCGCAGGCCTCGGCGCCGGCACGATCGCCGTGCTCGCGGGTCTCCAATCCTTGGAGGCGGCGCTTCCGGCGGGGTGGTACGCCATCTGGCAGTTCACCTGGGCGCCCCTCCTCGGCCTAACCTTCTCGGCCGCAGGCATCGCCCACTTCACCCTACTCCGGGAGTTCTGCAACATCTACCCGGGACGCGGCGCGTGGGGGTTCTGGTACCTCCCGGGAACCTCCAGCTTTCACGTCAAGTGGACCGGCATCGCGGAGCTGGCCGGTGGCGTTGGGCTAGCCCTCGGCGGGCTCGGGGTGGGCGCCGAGCTGGGCCTGGAGCGCGCGGCGGCGGCGGGGCTGTTCGCGCTGGTGCTGGCGGTAACCCCGGCCAACATCTACATGTTTTCACACGGGGCGCAGCTTCCGGAGGGGCTGGAAGTCCCGGTTTTCGGTCACGCGGTACGGGGGTTCTTTCAGTGCGTCCTGTTGGCTTTCTTTTGGACCCTCGCCAGTTCGTGAAGAGGGTTGGGGATAGGGGATGCCCTGTTGAGTTGGGTGCTGTATTCCCCGTGCTGTGGAAAAGGCAAAGTGCAGGATGCTCGCCCTTGAGAGTGAAACGGTTTTTTGCCCTTGGGCAGAGCGGCGACCGTCCGGTTGTTGCTTGAGAAGGGACGTCTTGGCGAGAGCGAAGAGTGCATCATCATTACAGTCTGGATTTTGAGGAGTGGGCTGTTCGCAAGAGTGGTCGAGATAGTTTCGGTGTTGAAAATCGAAAGTGGTGTATGATTGCGGGCCACAGCACACGAGTACACGCGTATATACGGCGGGGTCGGGTTGGCACGATTTTGAAGAGATGGTTGTGCAGAAGTTCTCTGGCCTACTTGTACATTCCACGCTCCTGATTTCTGCGGTGTGGGGCACGTGGGACGATCGTGGAGACTGCGGCCATCCTCCTTGACTTTTTCCGACATCGTTCGCACTGCCTTACGCGTTTATGCGCGGACGAGGTATGAAGCCGAAGGCGTGGGGTGTCCATGGCATAACTTCCTTTAGTCTCCGGTCAAATTTCTCAAGCTGTCACAGCCGTCGCTTCGAAGACGAGCTACTGCTGAAAGCCACGTCGTGCCGGGTATGCCTCCTGGACCAGATCCGAGTCCAGCTTCGATCAACTTCACACAACCCAACCAATTCACACCGGCGATGTCGACTCTAAGGGGTCAGGACAAAGTTTGCCTTCTCTTGGTATTTGTGTTTTGTAGCTGTGTTTCTTAAATAGTCAGCTGCAAGTGAATGCGCTGCTAGTTGCGTGTGCCTATCAAAACCGCCCCGGTCGTTTTCTGCTGTACAACACGCCGCAGAGAGGTCAGTGAAACCAAGAGATGCGCAGTCGCATGTGGTCGTAACATTCCCGAAAAACAAAAGTAAAATAATCTCCGCCTTCTCCGTGTCTCACCCTCCAACCGTCACAAACACACACACAAATCCCTGCAATTTACAAAATTCCGTCGAAGGTGCAAGCCCTGAGAGAGAGAGAGAGAGAGAAAGAACCACTCCGCCGCCGTTGGAATGCACGAGAATAACTCACTCTTTTTTCGAAACTTGTCACCCCGGCCACACCAATAGATTAGTATACCGACCTGCACAAGCCGACCCCACCACAACACGAAAAAAACGCCCCCCCCAAGACAAGGAAAATGTGATGCATACAGCGGCGTGGCCTTGCTCGTCGTGCCGCTACATCCCGGACGATGACGCCAGGCAGGAGAATCTCCAAACGCTTGCATCAAGCGGGTTGTCCTGTGGAGGGTTACACTTTCCCAACACGATGGGAGAAATTCAGCCGATCACAGTACGGAACTCTCGAGCCATCAGTCTCCTAGTTGGCTGAGAGCACTTTTAGCCACGAGCACCTTGAGACGTTCGGCTAATGCGTCTCTTGCCATCCGCAGCCTTTCTCCGGTCGACATGAGCATCAGTGACTGCACTCAGCAGCGCCAGCATGCGACGAACAATCAATACGGCAGGCGGAGAGGCGGCAAGTTAGACACGCACCAACGATCATCACCGAGCAGGATTTACAGTACAAACAACACGGACCACATCGATGCGCACGAGACGCAAATGTAGGCTGCCATCACAATATCCGCAACACGTCCAAAATGCTTTTTGTTCGGATCGGAAACGCTTCATCGATCATTGCTAATACAAACTCGACCCCAGACGGCGAACAGAAACAAGAACGTCAATCTGCAACGAAAAACAGCTACATAGGCACACCGCGGAATGGATATCGCGGAGCGAGACACACCGACGGAGAAGAGCGGCGTGATACAGCTGCCGCCAACCAATCAACGAGCGGGCATACTATTCCGATCCCCTGGATGCATCGCAAAACGAGCGCGTGGTGCGGGCCGTCATGGCGCACGGAAGGAGGCGTGTTTGCGGGGTCTTCATCGAGACTAGCAAGCAGTCAAGCCAAGTCACCACCGGAAGAAATAAAATAAACACGACGAGTCCCAGAAAAAAAAAAAACACGGCAGAAGCAACCAAGGCAAACCCTCACACCTGCAGGCGGGCACTCGGATCAAAGCACCCGAGGGACGCGAACGACACGAGCTGCTCCCGCTCCTCCTGCGGCGAGGTACACCCCCACAGGTACTGCCCCTCCCCGTCCCCCTCGTCAGAGGGGGGCACCTCCCCGCCCGACGACCCCGCGGCTGCTGCTGCTGCCGCGACCACGTCGGCGATGGTTTGGGGGCCGCTTGCGGCGCCCCACGGTCGGTCCCCACCCGTCTTCTTGGCGGCGGCGCCGAAAGCGGCCGCGTCTGCCCCGCCTCTGTTCTCCTCCAGGCTCACGGTAAGGTGCGCCTTCAGGCACTCGTACCTGGCAAGTGCGCGTTGGAAGGAGACCGCAAGAGCATCAACCAAGAGATCGAAGGGAGTCTCGCCTGTGATAAGGGGTTGTTTCGCGTTGAAGGAGATTGCAAGACCATCAACTAAGAGATCGAAGGCGGCCGCGCCTGTGGTTAGGGGTTGCTGCGTGTTGAAGGAGACGGCAAGAACATCAACCAAGAGAGCTCGGGTTAGAGAAGACCAAGACTCTTTCTCGTGTGTCACGTACGCTGCGACGACCGTCTGTTCATGCGCTACCTATTAGTCAGGTGTCGAGAGAGGGGTCGCCAATGAAAGGGTGCTTGACCCAAGGCTGTCTACTTTACGGGAGCGCCGTACCTTGCAGTCACCTGTGCTTCTGGCGTACGTTTAGTAGGTTGCGCAGGTCACTCCTTGCAGAAAAAATGGCCGCGGTTTGTTCTTCCATGTTTATATGACCTTCCCGCAGCTCGGGTAGCGACGGGCGAGACGTTCAAGATCCTCCGTGTAGCCGCGCAAAAAATAATAGAGGATCTACGTCCGCGTGCAAGTATCATTGCAAGCTTAGAAACATTGCCCAAGCTCTTTTCAGTCCCTACCGATCTAGGCATGTTCGGGGCTCCAACAAACCTGGAACGGATGTGAAGGCAACTTGCTGGAAAACAGATAGCATCTACGACCAAAAATTACATTTTCTACTTGACACCTAGAATGGGCTGTGGAGAGGGTAGCATGGGCGGGCAGCAAACCAACTTACATGGCTTCGACCTGGTCCTCTAGGCTGGAGTCGAAGCCGTCGCTCTCGTATGCCTCATGCCCCCATAGCAAGTCCCCCAGCCCCTTTGCTTTCCCACCCTCCTCCTCATCCTCCTCCTCCTCCTCTTCCTCCTCCTCCTCTTCCTCATCCTCCGCCTCCCACCCGGCGACAATGTCCTCCGCCGCTCCCGCTATCGACACAGATAATCGCCTTTCGTAATCCCCATTGCTGCTACCGCCGCCCAGCTGGCTTAGGTCCAGCTCGCCGCCGCCTCGCTGGAATCTCTCCATGAGATCGTCAACCTCGGCGCCGCCAGCGCTCCCCGCTCCTTCGAATTCCTCCGCGCTTGCTGTGACGTCATCATCGTCCAACAGCTCATCATCATCGTCGTCGTCTTCGTCGTCTTCGTCGACTTCGTCATCGTTTTCTTCAGGGACTTCTTCTTCGAGAAGGCGACGGCCTCCTCCCGCTTTCGTCCTCCCACCCCACGTTACCCCCGGCCGCTGTCGCCATCTTCCCCTCTAGTTCCACGCACTGTCGGTGGAGGCTGAACACCTACACAACAAAAACGCGTGTGAAGCATTTGCAAAGTGGGTATCCAGGTTATTGCGGTGGAAGCATGGCTTGGTGCTGCTGACGGGAAAAATATGGTCCAGGCAGAAGCGTCAAACCTCACAGCATCAAGCAAGTGAAACCATGAGCACAAGCGCCAGCATTGGTAGCGGCTGCTGCCACATCATCTTTACAAACACCACCAAGAGCAGCAGTAGCAGCACAGCAACATGCAGACGTGTTCAACACACAAAAACGAGACAGACCTAGGTACCGCAGACAACCGCGCACATGCATAAACGGCACCATGACATTCGACGATATGATGAGGACTCAGGCTCACATCGGAGGAAACGACGCCGTTGTCCTCCCCCTCCTCGTCAGGCTCGTCCATGCCGACCACGTCTCGAACCTCGCGGACGTTCGCGCGAATGTAAGGGTCTACGTTCGTCACGTCTGCCAAACGAATTGCGCGATACGAGGGGCGTCGCGAGGAACGTTCCAGAAATCAGTGCTGGTGAAACAGGAACATTTCAAGGATCGGTTCAGGTGCAAGAAACGTTCCACAGATCGGTTCAGGTGCGAGGAACGTTCCAGAGATCGGTGTAGGTCCGAGGAACGTTCGTTCCAGATATCGGTATGAGACCTTCACGTCATGAACCGAGTAGATTAGAAGGGGAAGGGAGAGAAGCGTAACCCCGCAAAAACCTGTCTACTCCTCCGCCCCCGTCCGATTGAACGCCAACACGTATGGCCACCCGCCCACGAGCCATCGCCCCTCATCTTACGTTGCCGGGAGCGAACATCGTCGCAGGGGGTGACCCATGTATATACACAGTGCTACAAAGTTTGATTTAATTTTTGAACGGTGTATGCATGTGTAGCGCGGTCGATGCGAACTCAAGAGACCCTCGGTAGTGCTTGTCCTCACCGCCTATCTCACACCGCCCGATGCACCGCAGGGCTACCGACACCCCGACCTCTTCACGCTCCCACGCCACGATGTCGCACAGCTGTCCGACCCTCACCAACACGCCGTCTGACAGCGACAAGTGGAAACGGAATGAGTGATGCTGCATCAATGTCTCTCGATCGTTTTAGAGGGGATTCACAAGGTTGCGACGAAGAATATCGACGTGCGACTTCCCACCAGACAACGGGAGTAGGCAACTAGTACCGCCAATGGGGTCGTGCAAGGGTTGGGGTTGCTGGCTGTGTGAACGGTGGAGATGGCGCCAAGCTGTGCAGCCAGCCCACACCAAACACGCGGTCTGAGCTAGAGGACGTGGAACAAAACGTGCCTACACCTACCTGTGACTCTTCGAAATGCCCACAATAAATGATGCAGTAAGGTGTAACGGCGACATGGCGGTACCTTGCGTGTTTCGAGCCGTTTCTACAAGCTGCTATGTTACAGGTTGCTGGTTCATGTTACAGGTTGCTGGTTCACTGAATGGCACATATCCAGAACACCAAGGGGACGGGTGTGGTCCACGAAGGCTGTTATTCGCCGTATGCCAAAAACTGCCAAAAAACGCTTAAAAACATACACGGTATATTTTTCTTCTCATGACTGCTGCTTGGCGTTTCCTCGGCCAGTTGGCCTTCCAAACAATGGAACACCTTTCTCATCTTCCCCTGGCGAACAACTCTCTCACCATCTACGAAGATCGCTCCCCCTACACACCCCCCGTGGTTCTTGATCGCGTTCTCGAACAACGACAAGAAGCGTGCCTGTTGGGGGCCAAGGGGAGCGCGGGAGGGAACACAAGAGGGGGTGGCGGCAGATGTTTTTAGAAAATATATACACGGGGCAGCCACAAAAGGACCACCCGTTCGAGACAATACCACAGCAGTCGATGCTTGTTCCGTTCCAGCACTGACGACATGTGCGGTGGTTCCTTCCGTCATGCGGCAATAGCGGGGTGGAGTAGTGACTGTTACCGCTCCAGTGTTTCGATTTCCGCGCAACTTGAAGGCTCGATAGATCTTGGGTCGCTGCACTTTACAGTAGTAATGCAATACAGCAGTTCCAGCATTGAGCCATACGCCCCCCCCCCCCGAGGGTAGAGTTCCAAGAAGAGATGGCTATAAACGACAAGAAACTCTCGGAGTTGATGGAGGCAATGGGTACACCGAAGGATGCCGAAGGCCGGGACCAGGCCGGGTCTAGAATCATAGAAGGGTGGGAAGAGCTGGTAAACACAACAGCAAGCAGAGTACTAGGTAGAAAGTTGATAGTTTGTAAGAGAGCAGTGGTGGGACGAAGAAATCAAGCAAGCAATTCGAGTACGTAGAGAGTCACACGCAAAATATGCGGCAGGGAAAACAGATGCAGGATGGAAGGAGTATGTTGAAAGTAGAAAGAGGGTGAAGGAGTTGGTCGTGAAGAAGAAGAAAGGGTTGTGGGAGGAAGTAGTCCAAAAGACTAACGAAGATTTTGAGGGGGGGATGAAGCAAATGTGGGTAGGAATTCAAGGGATAGTGGGCAAGAAAAGAGGGGGAGACACGGAAATAACGACACTAAGATCTGCCGAGGGTAAGATGGTAAGCACTTCTAAAGGAAAGAGGGAAGTACTAGTAGAGCACTACCGCAAACTTGGGACACCCACCACCAACGACAACTTCGACTCGGAGTTTGAGAAGGAAATCAACTCGTGGGCAGAGGAAAACGTTGAAAGATCTCAGAGGGAACGTAGTGATGTAGACGGGTTGCAGGGAGAGTTCACACGAGAAGAGGTAGAGGACTGCGTAGCGAAACTCAAGAATAGAAAAGCGGCAGGGGCTGATGGAATTGTGAACGAGCTTTTGAAACAGGGGGGGGAGGGGATGATTAACATGTTGGTCCGGATGTTCAACTGGATATGGAAACACGAGTACGCGCCGAAGAGATGGAGAGAAGGAGTAGTCGTGAACCTGTTCAAAAAGGGGGATAAAGCTGACCCGGGGAATTATAGAGGGATAACCCTGTTGAGCACAGTGGGGAAACTGTTTGGCAAGATGATAGACAATAGAATGGGAGACATGTTGGAGTGGAAACAAAAGATCAACGAAGGACAAGCTGGATTTAGACCAGATCGTAGTTGTGTAGACCATGTATATACGTTGAGTAAAATCATCCAAGGTAGGAAAGACGCCGGGCGTACGACATACTGTTTCTTCCTCGACATACAAAAAGCGTACGACACCGTATGGCGCAATGGATTGTGGAAAAAGATGTGGGACATCGGCATCCGGGGGAAAATGTGGAGGATGTTGAAAAATATGACAGAATGCACAAGAAGTGCGGTGATGTTGGATGGGGAAATTTCGAAGTACGTGGATATACTCCAAGGAGTCGCACAGGGCTGTACGATGTCACCCACTCTTTTTAAGATTTACATCAACGATTTGATAAGGGCGGTTGAAGCAGTAAGACAGGGAGTCCAAGTAGAGGGAAAGAGTGTGTCCGGACTGATGTTTGCAGATGATTTCGTGGGGGTATCCGAAACACCAGAAGGGTTGCAAGAACAAATAGATGCGGCGGTAGGATACACCCGAAAATGGAGATTGTCGGCGAACGTAGGAAAATGCGCAGTAGTGGTCTGTAACGAAGATAAGAAAAATCCCGTAGAATTCAAATGGAAATGGGGGGAGGAAGAACTACCGGTAGTAGACAAGTATACGTACCTGGGAGTAGAGATTTCGAAGGAGTGCTCATGGGACGCACACATAGCGAAGTTGATTGGGAAGAGTAAAGCTCAGATAGGCAAGATGGACGAGATCCTTACGGACCCACACCTAGACACTAGGATTAAGAGGTGTATTCTCTTGAATGTGATTGTACCTAAGCTAGAGTATGCAGGAGAGATATGGGAAGGTAACGAAAAGGCCGTCAAGCAGCTGGAAACGGTGCAGATGGCAGCGGCCAAGAAAATACTAGGATGTTCAAGTACAACGAGCAACACTGTATTGAGAGCAGAATTGGGAATGTACTCTCTTAAAACAAAGAGAGACATGCAGAAGTTGAATTGGCAGTACAAGGTAAGTAGAATGTCGGACGATAGACTACCAGCCATGGTTGACGAGGCAGCTTGGGGAAAAACGACTCCAGGGAAGAAGGGAATCATATGGGACAAGGTGGTAGAGAAGGTTTGGAAGGAGATAGGAGACGAGGAGGAGACGTTGGACACGGAAGGGTTCGGGGGGTTCAAGACGAAAGTCAAGGAGATGCTAGAGAGTAGGGAGGAGGCAACCCTTCGGAAGAAGGTACGAAGCGAAGACCACTTGGAGATATACGGGAAGTTGAAAGAAGGGATAGGGATGAAGAAGTACTTGGACGGCCCCATGGACTATGCGAAAAAGCTGAAATTGCAATTTGGAGTAGGCGATCTGGACTTGCCAGAACGGAGGAAGAGGTATACCAGCCGTAGGAGAGAGGAAGAGGAGGATAGACACACATGTCCATGTGGCAAATCGGAGGAGAGTAGACCCCACATAGTTGGGGAGTGTGAGTTGTACAGGAAGGAAAGAGAGGATCTCGAGGAGGAAATGAGACAGAGAGGGTGTGACATGGACAAGTTTGGTAAATTAGACAACAGCGAAAAAACGATCGCGATAATTGGGGATAGATGGTGGGCACAAGAGGCCCTAGAGGACGGGGATAAGATGTGCAAGAAATTTTTATGGAGTTTGTGGCAGAAACGTAAAGAGCTCCCAAATGTTGGTGGTGTCTCTAGTAGGTGTAGGAACGGTGCTCCGTCTCGAAAGGGACGCGTGGTCAATGGTCAAATGACTACGGCAAGCAACAAATGAGTACGCCCCCCCTCCCCCCTTTCCCGGTGTTTGCCATCGGGGTTGGGTTTTCGTCGCTTGGCAACGACGTTGTAAAACAAGCCGCCCCCCCCGGTGTTTGCCATCGGGGTTTGGGTTTTCGTCGCTTGGCAACGACGTTGTAAAACAAGCCCCCCACTCGGTGTTTGCCATCGGGGTTGGGTTTTCGTCGCTTGGCAACGACGTTGTAAAACAAGCCAATTCACTTCGTGAACTCGGCAACCAGGTTACCGTTTTTTTTTTTACCTCGGTTTTTTTTTGGCGGTAACCATAATGGTGGTCGAGTAGATTATGTTGTGCGGGGTCGAGAACCTCACTCCGCGCAACGGGGGATGATCGCACCACGTTGTGTTAAAATGGTCAAGCTTCCTCGAGGCAGTTACACAGTGCTTACAACTGTCTCTGGAAGTGAAAGCACCAGAAAATAAATTAAGTCATACGTAGCTGTCATCCGTACGCAAGGAAGTAAGCACAAGATGCCGAACACCCTTAGCAGGATGCAGCTCACCCTTCATGCGACTCGCCAAATACCTCACGGCGCTTCGCGCTTGGTGATGTGAGAGCCTGGTCCGGTGAGAACCCGGCATGCTCCGTCCCGGCTTTGTAGGGATGCGAGGTCAATGGTCAAACGACTACGGCATGCACGACTATGAGTACCCCCCCCCCCCCTCCCCGCCGCCCCCCGATTTAACACCAGGGACGCTCATGACAACCCCCCCCAATCTCCCCCCGGGGGACACGCCCCTCCTATAGGTGTAACGCCCTGGGCTCTCCGGGACACATGACGTCCTCCACCGGGAACGGAAGGAGGCCCATCTCTCTGAGGTGTCCGGGGTGCCCCTGCTTCCTCTCTCGCACCCCGGTCAGCTTTTTAGAGAGAGAGAAAAAGCCGCGGTATCCCATGCCCGGAGAAGATTAAACCAAGTTGCGATGAAAACAACATCCGGCCA